ACTTATCTTACTTGGAAAAAAAAAAACAAAGTGACCTTGGCTCCGTTACGAAAACAAACTATTGTTAAAATTTTAATTGCCGTTATTTTGTATACACTGATATTGGTAAATTTTCGTAAATTTCGTTCGAAACTTTTTTCCCTGTCAGAAAACGTCACGAAACAAATCTGAAAATATATCTGCGTAAGAGTATTAGGTATTCGAATGGCAGAGTTGGGCAAAAAAATCTTAACGATTAACATTCCCAATAATCTCTCATCCCGATTAACGATTACATTCCAACTTTATCGAAGTTGGCGATTAAATTCCTACAGTCGTTCATTGCGATTCAGAGTTCTAAATTCTTGTTTTAATTGCCAATTATTATTCACAATCAAGTTCCTTTCAGTTTTAATCTTCAGTCGGGAACCTCATTAACGATTAATTTTTTTTTTTTTTTTGCAGAGAAATTATTTACGTAATTAGCATATTCTCGTTCGCGGCTAGGTTTGCGATACTATAGAGCATAGAGAGATGATGATACTGATGCAACAAAATGAAGTTTTTTTTTATTATTACTTGTTTATTTAACAAATTTCGAAGGCGTTCAAAATTAGGCTTGCAGCTAAACATATAGATCGCTCTATACTTCTTGACAGAATAAACCAGGAATATGTTTTATTTCGATTAAATATCTCAAGCAACGATAATTGCAAAGCATAACTACAATTTCAAATAAAATTATGAATGAAATCCGATGTAATTAACAACTGAAGGTTAAACACTATTATCGATTGAATCAATCGCCGATTTTTTTAACAATTAATTTCCTTTAACCAACCAACGATCATTTTATTCAATTAATCGCCGATTTTTCAGTGATCAATTTCTTTTAATGAACAATTGATGGTTAATTCTAATTACCAATGACTGACGATTGATTTTATTTGTCGATTAAAACAATCGTCGATTAATTTCCTCTAACAAACGACAGACAGTTAATTCTATTAATCGACTAGATACTCGACGATTTTTCAAAGCTTAATATCCTTTAACCAACGATCGACGATTGATTTTATCTGCCGATTGAATCGGTCGCCGATCTCCCTCGACGTTTAATTTCGTTTGATCGTAAACATTAACCAGCCAGTCAAGAAACGTTAATCGATCAATGCTCAACTCTGAATGACACCGATATACGTGTCGAATAAGAAACTTCCAGAACCAGTTCAAACGTCTGCATCTGTTCAAACGGATCGGTCGATCCGATCCTCCAATCCAATCGAGGGGAATCCCGCTCGGCTTATTATCAAAGCTCGACAGCGGCTTGTTCGAATCGAGTGGCCGTTGTCCAGCCGTCAGGAATTTCGCCGATGATGGCCGATGTATCCGGCGAGATGCGTCGCGTCGGCCCCGAGTATCTGCTGGCTGGAAATCGGCAGCTGACGTTGTTGCGCGGTACCGGTAAACCCACGACGTGTCAGCCACGGAGAATTACTCGCAGGGGGATAAACGCGAATAGAGCGGCTCTCGCGCTTCTCGCGAAACGTGTGTGAAACGCTGTGTGACGGTACGATCGGCGAGCATCGGTTTCAGCCCCGCTGGCAGTGAATTTCCCCAGCCGTTGATCGGCCGCTTATGTCACGCCCGGTGAAAGCTAAACGGGTCAAAAGCCGTAATTAACGTTAACGTAACGCTGTTTACTCGTCCAATGCGCGAAAGAACAGCGATCGAGCAGGTTCCATTCCACAGATTCGGTGCTATCGACTGGTTGAATATACCGAGCTACGCAGCTTGTCAAGTCTAATCCGATCACTCTCGATGAGCCAAGTGGTAACTCTAATTCATTCCGCGTTAGACTCGAGTATCGTGTAGAAAGAAATATATAATTTGCACAATTATACGATT